GATTAGATCAATTTGGCTTTTTTGTATTATGATGTCGTGCCTCACCAGCATGCCGGCCGTCAGGGCGATGACGTTGGAGATGGCACTTTCCATGGCCTGTCCTCGCTGGAGGCTGAAGTGTCTTAGCACCACACCATGAACCAAAGCAGCCAGCAGGAAGTTCACATGCCCTACTAACACCATACTGAGGCCCATCTTCATCAGTCCCTTCTGCTCCTCTAGACTGCCGCAACACAACCCTGAGCAAAGAAAGGGAGAGAGAGAGAGAGAGAGAGAGAGAGAGAGAGAGAGAGAGAAAGAGAGAGAGAGAGAGGATGATGACGAGATATAAAAAGCTATTTCAAAATTTCATCTATATCATGCACTAGCAACAGCTAAAAAAATGCTATTAGTTGAATCATATTAACTTTTGTAGTCATCTCAATTTACACATTTACATTTGACTAATCTGAATGGCCACAATAAAGTTGAATTAAAACTTACTGTTAAAAAAAAAAAAGTAAAATTAAATAAAAATACTAGTAACATTGAGTACTAGTATCTTATAAAGAATTTAGCATTGATTGAATTTATACAAAAATGAATTATTAAGAACTAGTTTGTAATATTTAAATTATCAGCATCTAATAAGTTAGTTGAGACCCAGATAGCATACGAATGTGGGCCACTTTAGGCAGTTATGCGGCACTGGTGGTATTCCTTCGGCCCAGACAAAATTAATGTGAACCTGAAGTGGCCCACTTGTACAATGGCAAAGGGGGGGCCAAAGATTCAAATTCATATATGGGCCATTTAAGGCAAAGAATTATGGCAAGCTGTAATCTGAATGACAGCCTAATGTAGCTCATGTAGAAAATTGTGTAGAGAGGACAGGTTATCTTAAAACATTTGTGGGCCACTTGTTGTTGAATATGCGGCACACTAAGCTATGGCTAATGTGGATTTTAGCCTATAGTGCCGCAGAGAAGATATGGAAAATGTGTCCCAGTTATCCTAAAGCAATTGTGGGCCACTTTTGGCAAATATTTGGCACAGTTAGCTCTGGCTAATGTGGTTGTGAGCCTAAAGTGGCCCAGAGAAGATCTGGCAAATGCGGCCCAGTTATCTTAAAACATATGTGGACCACATAGACTAAAGTCACCATCATGGAGAAAAGTGTTTGCTTTTAGTTTTTAAGAACTTTCCTTGAAAAGTTTATTCAAAAAAAACAAAAAAAAAAAACAATAAAATTTAGTGAGGCACAACCTGTGATGAAATAATATAATTCACTGATGTTAACCAATGTTTCATCTATTATTAAAAGTAACGTAGGTCCCACTTTATATTAAGTGTCCCTAACTACTATGTACTTACATCAAAAAATAAATACAATGTACTTACTGTGTTTATAATGTATTTGAGAACACTTGTGGTTCTTTTGAGTTGGGATAGAGGTTGGGTTATGGACAGGTTTGGTGGCGTGGGTAGGTTTAAGGGTGGGTTAAGGTGTAAGGGATGGTCAACAGTGTATTTACAAATGTAATTACAAAAGTTAATTACAGATGTAACTACATACAGGTATTTAATCAAGCATAAGTACACAGTAAATACATGTATTTACACAATAAGTACATTGTAACAAACTATTAATTCCTATGTAAGTACATATTAGTTAAGGCCACTTAATATAAAGTGGGACCGTAACGTAACAACATGCTTGCACATGCCACAGAATTATGAAGGTATATAAGCAGAAAAAAAAACTATGGTTCAACTTCTGCTCACCGAGACATCAATAATCAACATATGAACCTCAACAATGGTGAAAATAACTAAATGAACAAAACTCACAAACAGGAAACTAAAAGTGACAAAATCAACAACGTCATCATGGACAGCAGAATCAACAGCAAATAATGAAAACTGGAGCATCAATAAGCCAGAATGTGTTCATAAATGTATGCGGGGATTTTTGTACTTTGCCACACTCAGCAAGTGTAAGGTGTAGGCCAGATCTGGACCAGAATAAAAGCAAATTGTGGTCCAGAATAGGGTCAGTTCTGGTTCATTTGGTTGAATTCTGGATGATATGTGATATTGCTATGGCTTAATTGTGGCCCAGATCTGGCAAACAGGAGCAGACCGCCCAAGTGCCATCATTCCATGCGGTATGTGGGCCGGATGTAAGTGTCTGGCGTGGGCCGGATTAGAGCCAGATGAATTTTACTAGCTGGGGAGTACATTTCTATCAGCACTGGATTACGGTGATATACTTTATATGCACGCACCTCTGAATGTTTTTTTTTTAATTAAATTAGATATCGTCTATCATAGTGCCTCAAGATTTGTCACTGATTTAAGTGCACGCACACATCACTGTAATTTATATAAAATGACAGAATGGACCTCATTACAGTTAAGGAGAAAAAAAAAACATATCTTAGTTATTTTAAAGCTTTAGTTGGTAAATTGGCATAGTATATACAATTCTATAGAATACAAAAAAAAAATGTTTTATAGAATTACAGATCTATTGTGCTGTCTTAGACCCGACTTATGGCCGAGAATTAGGTTTATTAAGTCTGTCCTCCCTGACTCATCATCCCTCTTTTTAGCTTCATGCAAAAAAATCATGAGGCTTGATTAGTCTAAATAAGATCACCATCATATTATTTAAACTTAGTTTTGTCAACTTGCAAAACTCACTATATGCCGACACCTCCACATAAAAGTCTATTACGCCTGCTTCACAAGGCATGAGTGGTGCGTGAGCAGCTTGGCTATATTTTCGGCGTCCATGTTCACGAACTGTTCACAAAATGTGTTTTTTTTTTCTGCACACACACTCAGTTTGCTTTTTGATTAAACTACATTGCTTTCATCAGCGTTGGTTTGGCTGCACATAGAGAATACCATCTTTATTTTCTTTTATAAGCGTCAGCAGTGGCAGATCTGTTCGGCGAAATATTTGACTGCGTGTCACTACATATCAAACGACTTAAACAATATAACTGAAGAAATCTTCACTGTGCTGAGTGAAAGAGCTTATCAACGATGACGTAAGCGTGCCCAGACCCGAATGTAATGTGAGTGCGGACCGTGGGGGGAGACAGGAGCATGCTTTGGCTAGGTTTTGTCCATGTGGGACCCCTCTGGGCTGGCCCACGTGGGACTGTTGGAAGTGGTGAGGACAGCAGGAGGTCCTAATGCCCCAGTAAAGTGAAAGAGACACTGTGAGTGCACGCTGTCTTTCGGATGAGACGTTAAACCAAGCTCCTGACTCTCTGTGGTCATTAAAAATCCTTGTTGTACAGAGTATGGGTGTAACCCTGGTGTCTTGGCCAAATTCCCTCCATTGCCCCTTACCCATCATGGCCTCCCAGTCATCCCCATCCACTGAATTGGCTCTATCGCTGTCTCTCCACACCATATAGCGTTGTCATGTGGCTGCTGTCGCATCTTCCAAGTGGATGCTGCACACTGGTGGTGGTGTAAAGAGACAGCCCCTTGATTGTGCTATGTAAATACACACATTACACAGCACAAAGAAAAACTAAATGTGAACAGGGGAATCTTCTTTGAGATGCACCTTTATTAGAAAAAGTCAAGATTCACCTGGGAGAAATTTGCTAATTGAAGACAGATTTAGAAAAAAAGTCTAATGGAAATGTATAGAAAACTGCGTTACGACAGAATATTATGATCACATGTTGCATGTTAAGACTTATGCCATGAACAAATGATTAAATGTTGTGGGGGTGAGACTATTTAAAGAGACCAAAATAATATATTTTGACCAACATGAAATAAGCAAGGTGGCGCAGTAGGTAGTGCAGTCACCTCACAGCAAGAAGGTTGCTAGTTCGAGCCTCGGCTGGGTCAGTTGGCGTTTCTGTGTGGTCATAATAAATTGTGTGGAGTTTACATATTCTCCCCGTGTTCGCATGGGGTTTCTCCGGGTGCTCTGTTTTCCCTCACAGTCCAAAGACTGTGTATGATTGTGAATGAGAGTGTATGGATGTTTCCCAAAGATGGGTTGCAGCTGGAAGGTCATCCGCTGCGTAAAACATATGCTGGATAAATTGGCGGTTCTTTCTGCTGTGGTGACCCCAGATTAATAAAGGGACTAAGCCAAAAAGAAAATGAATGAATGAATGAATGAAATAAGCAGTTGATTATAGGAAACATTTGAGAATTGCATGTAATCATTTGCATGGATATATGCAAGCATTTGCAACGTGTTTAAAAAAAAAACTACTTATTTGAGGTGCATAAGTGACACAATGATCTGAAGATTGAACAGGTAGTTTAGAGAATTTCATTTCATTTCTCAAAGCCCATCTCTCGCCCAGAAAACAGTAGGGAGCCCAGGGTTCAAGGACATTTTGAGCTCAGGGCTCTCCCCTGGGACAGCATGCCAAACAAGCTTATAATCAATCATCGACTAAGTGTGAACTCTTGAAATTAAGTTGAAACAAAAACTGAATTCCCTCAGGTGCAAAAAGTTGAATTGTAATTTTACAGTTGAAATGTGGAACAGCTTGCACAGTTGAGCTACCAAACGCATCTAAGAGGTCCGCGATGAATTTGCAGTCATTCCACGAATTTACAGCCTCCAGTAGCTTCCTCTTGACAACATAAACTGTGAGTAACAGTAAAGCTCAGAGAGAAGACAAGGGTCATATTTTCACATGGCTGTGCTGACAAGCGTTACAGATATTTTGCCGGTGTGCTCTGGGTAAGACTGTGAAAGCTGAAGGAAAGATTAGAAGTGGAGCGGAGCGGTGTGGGTGGACATCATTTCACTGCAAACACAAAGGCTCCACTGATCCACCGAGGACATGGTTTGGGCTACAGGAGAGATGTCACCTTCGTTAATCATTACACACTTTGTACACTTGGCACCGCAAACTACACAGATAATGGCTCGTTAGACGTTTGGGACATCAAAAAAAAAAAAAAAGTTTGAGACAGTGTTCATGAGGGAAACGCTGCAGATATTGCACATTAAAATATGATTATCTGGCTTAGATTAATGCTTCATTAACTCTTTGACAGGAGTGAATTAAATGCTCAGTGGAGTGGGTAACATTTTTCAGCTGATGAAAAGTGTACAAGACAAAAACATTAAAACACAATTCAAAAGCTGAGAACAAATTGGTGAAAAGTTCACTGTAAACATGCTGGGTTCCACACAATATGAAGAAATTAAGTTAACTTCAGTTTTACAAATGTAAGTGGATTGAACACAAAACAATTACGTTGTCCCCTAAAAATAAAAATATTTGTATTGTTTTAGCTTATTTTAAATAAGTAGTTTAAACAAACAGCAAACATAATTTGTTCCAGTGTATGTGATCTTCAAATAGTCTTCAGCAGTTCTTTGCTTTGCAATCATGTATGAGAACTAGTTTACATACTAGAACCTACAAAAAACCTATAATGGTTCTCTGGCCATTCTTTTGGGTGTTTTGGTTCACACAGTAAAACCCAAAAAGTTAAGGTAACTCAAACCATTTGAGGAAACCGATTGTAACAAACCATTTTACATTCAAAAACTGAGTAACTTAATCCATTTGAGTAAATGAAGCAATTTAAGCTAAGTAAAACTCAATAAATGTAGAAAACTCAAACCAACTGGGTACTGTAAAATCCAATAAGTTAAGGCAACTCAAATCCTTTGAGGAAACCAATAGCTACAAACCATTAGAGTTAAAAAACTATATGAGTACGGCAAACTTTCTCCATTTAAGTTGAAGTAATGAGGTAAATAATTAACCCAATACATTCACCAATGAGTTCAAAACTCTTTTCAAATGAGTAGAATGAACTTTCAGTACATTTTGAGTTAACTACACTCATTTCAGTTGATAAAGTTGACTGTTGGGTTTTACAGTTCAGCAATTAACGTGCTTAATTATGGCCAAAAAAAAATCATGATTAGTGCAATTTGGCAACATTTTCTCTTTAGAATAAGAACAGTATATTATTTATACAGTGCTATGTGCCATTTTTAGCCATGTTTCCATTCACATTAAACAAAATGTGATGTCTAGATTAAGGTCTTTAAAAATCTAAACTTTACAGCATATCTGCAGCATTTCACCCAAATGTTTGCTAAATATGGACATTAAATTAAACTGCTAACCCAACGTTAGCTTAGTGGTTGTTTTTTTTTTAGAAGGGGTTTAGGTTTGAACATTTCTTTTTACTGATTGACAGAGAAACACATAGTAAAAACATCGTTTTTAAACAAAAATCACTTTAAGGAGCATTGATTTATTTAGCTTATTTTAGTAACTCACCTGAAGTACCCATCTGAAAATAGTCCAATCTAGTTTAAGCCCTTGTTTTGGTCATGGCACTTCTGCAAATATTCCAGGACGGATTCCTCTTTTCTGTACTGTCCCGATCACACATGTGTTTGTGAGGAGAAAGTAAGTGCCCTGGATATTCATTTACAGACTGGCCAGACTTTGAGGCTGGTAAGTGTATAAATCATTAGGTAAATGATAGGTTTCCTGTTTTAATGTTCTTATTAATAATCCAGCTACTAGATTCAGTTTGATTTAAAAGAATAGTTTGCCCCCCAAAAGGTTAACTTCTGGTAGTTAATTCACCCTCGGGCTATCCAAGGGAGATTTTTTTTTTTAGGATTTTTATATGAGGATTTTTATCTGAAACAGTGGTCATTTGTGATTAAAAAAATGTCTTTTAAAAAATGCACTTTCATGTGGCTGATGTTTAGTACATTTTCATTTTGGGGGAACTAAATAAAAGTTCATAGCTACATAATTAAAACTAAGATTCTGTCCACAAGAGGGACACAAACACAAAAAAGAAGAGCAATGCATTTTCACTGTTTTCCTTTAAAGAGTACCAATGTGGTCCTCTGGAAAATTAAAAACTATATAATTATGACTTTTAGATTCAAGTAGGCCTAATAAGGAATAATAAAGATGATGATGAAATGGTTGTGAATGATTTTGAGTTGTTTTTTTATTTTTCGTATTTTGAATGTAGGCCAAGTTTGAGGTATGTTATGTCATATCTATAGGAAGATCATCTTAACTGTCTTGAAAAACAAGAAGAGCAGTGGAGTCCATCACAGACCTCTGCTTTACTGTGATTTAGCGTTGAGTTTAGCGCCCTCTCTCTGTTACAGGGTGTAACTCATCATTTATATACTGTATGAAACGCATTAGAAGAACACGATATTCAAAACATTACGTTTAAAATATGACTTAGTGCGCTTTAAGATTAGTGATTTGGTTATTTAAAAATGTTTATGTCATGTTTATGTTTTTAAAAATGTTTATGTCCTACTTTTTGTCCCCACAAAGTGGTTACCAAAATGTTTTGTGACCAGCATTGTTCAAAATAAATGATTTTGTGTGTGCATAAATTAAGTCACACATTTTTGGAGAGAGGGTCTACTCTACAGCACTGGTATTAAACTCAGTTCCTGGAGAGCCACAGTTCTGCTCACTTTCGCTTTAAAGGTGACTTATCATGCCCCTTTTTATAAGATGTAAAATAAGTCTCTGATATTCCTAGAGTGTTTGAATTTTCAGCTCAAAATACCATACAAATAATGTTTATAACTTTTTGAAACTGCCACTTTTAGGCTTTGATAAAAATAGTGCCATTTGTGTAACTGTCACTTTAAATTAAAATTAGATTTTTTTATGCCTCGATTAAGAGTATCAATCATTGTTTCTACAGACGTTTTTTTCTACCAAGTGTGATTATAAAAATATATCTATAATTATTTTCTACCATTAGACTGGCTAAATTCACACATTATTGTCACACAACTATGTTTATACCAGTGATTTTTGCACCCTTTAACACACATTACACTAATTAAACATAGCTAATCAAACTAATTGAGTCATTCAGGTTTGTTTGCAGCCCACAGGTAAGTGTGTTGTGGCCCTCCAGAAACTGAATTTGACACCCCTGGTTTTAAGTGTGCCATTTCATTTTTACACTAGAAATTCATATAATCTCTTTTCTCTTTTTAAATTTTAAACAAAGCATGTTAATTTGGGGAAATGGTTTAGTTCGCATAAGAACTGATATCGATTGAGTGTGGATGGGCAGCAGACTATTCTAATAATATTGTTTCCTGGATATTATCTTCATTGTCTTTACAGGCCAGAGATGGGTCATTTGTTTACGTCTAGCCAACATGTCAGCTTTTTATAGCCAGATACAGCATCTTACAGGATGCACACCAGGCTGGTGATCACCAGGAATACAGTTATGATTGATTTCTCCTGAGGAACTGGCATTTCATTCAGAAGATGGAAATTAATCGACAACTAAACCTACCCTCCAGAAAAGTACACGCATTATTTAAAAGAAAATCATAACCACAATTGATTATGAATGACAGTTAACTTATTAGATTATTCCTGTTATGCTTCGCATTCATGCACATTTGAAAGAGTATCCTTTACTATATTTTTAATAGGGATTTAACGGAATTATATGTTTTAGGATATGTTAATAACTACAGGACAGTGTGTATGTAAATCAACACAGACAGAATAACTGACTAATTTAGTCAGATATATGAATTATGAAGCAAAACAATTTGTTAAAAGCAAAATGTTCCTGTGAAACATTTGAGTTTAAAATAATATATATATATTTTTTATGTAGGCCTATAGTTTTTCCATTGTGGAAATTTAGTATTTTATCAAATTTAAAAATATTTTGGATTGTGTTTTGATTGTTTTGAATAAATAATTATATGTTGGGCGATTAGATTTTAATAGTAGACTGTTTATTACTTAGGCTAATTTTATTGTCTTGATCAATGTTTTTATTTTTCCTAACCCTTTGTGGTTGTATGTCTAGTACCCTAGGGCAAGTGACTCAGCACATCCCAATAATTATATTAGTCTATAATATTAATATGACATGAAATGTGCTCAGCAGTAGTTCATTGTGCATTTTTGTTTAAAAAATGGAACAAATCCGTACAGAATAGCAGTCCTGCTAAATCTGACAAATGTAAACAAACTTGAAAAAAGTAAATATTAATTTTACATTTCGCAACTGCTTCCAAATATTTCCTCACAAATACTAACAGAATCGTTTTACGCGTCGTTAAAGATAACGTAAACGTCTGGACGCCTCTTCTGGCATCCACTTCCTGCATCCACATGGGACTGACTGTCGCTGCGGGTGAGAGGTCAATTGTTGACTTCCATATATCCAGTAATATTATGCTGCGGCATCCCAGGACAATGTGACCCTCCTCGGATCACCTTCATTAGCTAGTTGAAGCGCCTCGGAGTGCGAGTGAGCGCACGGTAGGGCCAAAATACACCCAGGGCGAGCAGACACCGCTCTCCAGCCGCACCATCTCCAACTCCGGCTGCAGTTTGACGGTAGCGCGGGGAGGTAAGGCGGATTACTGCGCGTTGAGGGCATATAGCTTTTCATGCTAGCGGCGATACTGTAACTGTAGCGCTCTGTGCATCAAAGCTGCGCTGCTATGAAGGCATCTCACACCCGCAGTCATAGCAAGTGATCAATCGAGACGCGAATCGCTTTCGAAAACTAAAGATCAGGGACTTTTTGTAGTAGTGCATGACTTTACGCGCTGTCTGCCAGAAGTAAAAGCTGTCTTCAGTTCACTGCGTTCATCTGCAAGTGTGAAAACAAAGGCGAAGATAATGCATTCTTGCATGCAGTTGCACAGCAGCGCGTGCCCGCTGGGGTTAGCCAGTTAGCGCGAGCTTGACACAAAATAAAGTCATGATTACAGACGTGCGTTTTATTTGAAGGTCGATGTTAAAGCAGACCGTAGGCGAGTAGTTTGTGTGGTTACTCCAGCATGACAAACTGGCACATCCTGGCAGGCTGTTTGTAGTTATTGTGATGTTTTGACAGCCCCCCTTGTCCCCTGCGGGTGACTCCTCGACCATGCGACAGTGGTGCCTTCCTGCTGTGGCTCCACGCGCCGAACCGCTCCCTACGGGCCGATTATCACCTCAAATCTCAGGTAGGACAACACATATGATGTGCAAACACTTTAGCCAAGTTATTGTGTACTGCTAGATTCGCATTTTCTCCTGAAATCTCTGTTTTCAATGTACTAAAAGGCTTATTGGGAAATAAAAATGTATTACATTGATATCATGTTTATATTTTCGTGTCCCCTGATGAAAAAAGTTGTTTGCTTGCCCACATTTTTAATTCAAAATCTATATTACTTCATTAATTCTTAAGAACATAAAAGATTCACATTTAAAGAATCTCTCTGTATACATGTGTACTGTATATATGAAAATATAATACCAAAGTGGTGTGTATAATGTAGTCATGAGGATTATATTATGTACAGCAGTGTTTCTCAACCACGTTCCATCGAGGACCACCAGCATTGCCTGTTTTGGATGTCACCTTAGTCTGTCACACTAATTACAGGTCTTTTAGTCTCTGCTAATGAGCTGAGGATTTGAATAGGGTGTGTTTTGTTAAGGAGATGTGCAAACATGTGCAGAGCTGGTGGTCATTCAAGAACATGGTTGAGAAACACTGATGTACTGGATATATAGCAAAATATACTGTACATTCTATTCAGTATGTATGTCGGTAGAACATTACAGAAGAGTTTTAGCTGAAATCATGGTGATTTATGAAATCAAGTCTACTGTCTGTAGTTTTGGAGTACAAAAACAACACATACAGGCAAAACAAAATTAATATCAGTGGCTCTTTACAATACTCTCAGGTTCTATGAAGTGGATAAACCCCTTACACATTATCCATAACCAGGGTGTCCGTGGATTCTTTAAAAGTATTAAAATGTGTCAGCGCCAATAGCCTAGTGGTTAAGTTCACCAACATATAGCACCTAGGTGCTCATGGCAACCCAAGTTTGATTCCTAGCTCGAGGTCCTATGCCGATCCTTTCCCTCTCTCTGCTCCCAATGCTTTCCTGTCTGTCCTTCACTGTCCTATCACATTAAAGGTGAAAAACCCCTAAAAGTAATTAGAAAAGAAAGTCTTAAAATTTCAAAAGCAAAAATTTAGGCCTTATAAAGTCTTAAATTCACTGAAATATTGTGCTGTGGGTCTTAAATCATTTTAAACTGGTCTTAATTTACGTTCAGGTAAAGCTACCCTATCGGGCCGACATACTACACAACTTTTTTATATTTATATTATATTTATATTTACAAAACAGATGTTAAGACATGTTTAAAGGAAATTCTCCAAATGAAATTCTCCAATCGGGGGAAGAAAACTAAAGCAACACATTCCTTTCCATAATCTTTTTTTAATACAAAAACTAATTAAAGACGTAACTGGCCCATTAGAAAAAAAAACCTTAGTGTTTAGCCCTGTATAAGTCTAAAGTTAAATTCCTAATGGTCCTAAAATAGTCTTAAAATGTCTTTTTTTGACTTGAAGAGACCTGCAGAAACCCTGATAACATTACCTTTAGACCACGGCCTATTTCATGCCCATGATAGTCTACTCGAGAGCACAAGTTTCCTGTCGCTTAATAATATAAACACAGATGTTTGTTTACGACAGAGAAGGAGGATGCATTTTTTGGATCGTTAATCAAAATGATATAGTTGCTTATCCTGGATGCTGAAAAAGCTTGTATAAAAACAGGGGTGTGAGTATTATTATTTTTATGCCATAAATTCACATTTTATTTGCTAATTGTGCTGTGAGAATAGAAAGCTATAGAACTGACCACACTTTTGATAAAATAAGATATTTCAGGGTGTCCACAGGGTCTGAAAAAGTATCAAAAGTTAATAAATCTAAGAAAATTAAGACCCACAAAAGGAATGAAAAAGTCTTAAATGCGTTTTTACGAGGTCTTTAATTTTGTTCAAGCAGTTGTCTAAAGTGTAGCATAAATATATTTATTTTCCTCCTAATATTAACTACGGTGTGCTTAATTTACACAATTGGTTCAGGACGGTGTGGTGAGAAGAAATTGAGTCCAGCCAAGCTCCTCCATCCGGGTGATTTCATGTAATTTGCGACAAATGTGGGAAGGTACTGTGACGCTCTCCACATGTAGCGAAACCATTGAGCAAAAACACACACCAAAATGGGAAAATGTAAGTTTGCATACTCCTGGTTGGAGAAAGACGAGTTTAAACAGTGGCTGAAGCCTGTCGCAGAAAACAACCGCGTTATTTATTCTTTCAAGCTTTGTTTCTTCTGAGCTTATCGGAGTTCTGTTGCATGGTTGTGCTCCATTGATTTATTTATCTACCACTGTTTATTAACAACTGTTTATTAAGTTAAAGGTTTGATATTGATTAGAAATATAAAATATTAAAATATTCAGAGGAGGTTTTTAAAAAGTCTTAGAAGGGTATTGAAATAACGCTTATTATTTCTGCATATACTATTTATTTTTGTAAGTGAAATTCTGGATCTGTATGAAAGAGAGCAGACCTTTCAGGATGGAAATGGCATTTAGCCTCCTGTTGTCCAACTTAATACTGAATGTTTATTTTTATTTCTATTCAAATAAAAACATTGTGGCATGGTGGCTCAGTGGTTAGCACTGTCGCTCGCCTCACGGTAAGAAGGTCACTGGTTCAAGTCCCAGCTAGGCCAGTTGGCATTTCTGTGTGGAGTTTGCATGTTCTTCCCATGTTAGCCTGGGTTTACTCCAGGTGCTCCGGTTTCCCCCACAGTCCAAAGACATGCGCTATAGGTGAATTAAAAAAAACTAAATTGACTTTAGTGTCTGATTGTGTTTGTAAATGTAAGTGTGTATGCATCTTTCCTGGTACAGGGTTGGGTCAGGAAGGGCATCCGCTGTGTAAAAACACATGCTGAAATAGTTGGCGGTTCATTCTGCTGTGATAAATAAGCGACTCAGTGTACCACTGATTATTACAGCAAACCGTACCATATACACACTAAAATCACAGAATGGCCGCAAACTGTTTTAAAGCCGTTCATTGATTTAATGCTTTGAAATGATACAAATGGTTGATTTGACTGAGCTCCAGACTGTCACGCTCCGCACCATTTGAAGAGGCTGTGGTACATTATGTAGTAAAGGACATTCAGTTTCCTATTCAGACTTCATCAGACCTCAGTGTATAAACAGAAATCATGGGTATTCATTTTGTTTTACCCGTGTAATTTTTTTATGCTTTACAGTACTAGTAGCCCTTGACTTGAAATTTATGAGTCCCCATAAACCACAGTTTCAGCTAAAAACCTTCTCTAATGTTCTACTGAAAGAATAAAGTCACCTCAGGATGACCTTAACAGCAATTTTTCAGTTTTAGGTAAATTGTACCTTTAAGTCTTCTGATCATCCAGACTCAACAACACTGGCTCAGTTAATGAGTTTGGGGGTGTAACCATTGTAATCTGTTTTGCTGATCAATTGCAGGTTTTTTCTTTGTTGTTGTTGTTCTGTAGAGTGCATTAGAGTCCCCCCACGCTTTCAGCAGCCTTCATTTTGAAAGTGTTTTCTCTCATTCATCTCTTAAAAAGGTTTTTAAGACTTAATAAGCCATGAATCAAACCAGCCAGCTACAAGGTGAACCAACCACGACATTATCAACATTGATTTGAAGTCAAAATAATTGCTCTTGAATTAAAGTATTTGAAAATTGGACAAAAAAAGAAAAGAAAAAAAAAACAATGATGCAAGAATGTGCTTAAATGCTTTAATACTAGAAAGAACTACAATCTCATATACAAGTCATATAAAAAAATATAGAAACAACATTTTGGGCCCTATCATACACCCGGCGCAATGTGGCGCAAGGCGCTTCGCAATACTTGTTTGGTAGTTTCAGCTTGGTGGAAGAGTCATTTTGAGGCGTTGCGCTACGCTGTTTAAATAGCAAATGCATTAGCGCTCATATGTGCGTCCATTGGCGTTCTGGTCTAAAAAGGAAGGCGTTCTGAGGCGCAATGCTGGCACGTTGCTATTTTGAGAAACTAAAATAGATTTTTCATTAGACCAAAACAAACCCGGTCTAAACTCCGGCGCAGAGTTGCGCCTCGCTTACACACTGCTTAATACGCACAAGAGAGCAATAGGCAAATATCTTTACATATGAAAAAATTTTAATATTAACGATATATATATAGGATATAATAAGAATAGATATAGGATATAAATATATAGGATTAAAATATTAAAAAACATATAATTTCTAGCCTACATAAATATGAAAAATCACTGCTTTTATGTTTTCTTCATCTCGGGAGGCTTTTTCAGTTCATTCATAACAATTTGCTTTTGTATAATGTTATTATTATTAGCAGTATCATTTATTATATCCATATTTATATTTGTTTTATTAAAAACAAGCTTAGATTTGCCCACCTGTCAGGTTTTAGACCATGTCAGGTTTTAGACCATGTGTTTTAGGATATAACTCAGGTTTTTGAACACACTTCGTTATTATTGTTCATTTATTCGTTTGCTGGAAATTAGAACTGAATTTAGAAATAGTTTTGAAACGAATATTTGCGCTTAACAAACGCAATTAATTATTTATAGACTAATTGATGTCTGTGCTTAAAGGTTTCCCTATCCGAAAGTGAAAGTGATCCAATATCTCATTCTCACGCAGTAGATGCTCTGTTTAACAGTTTTCTGTTAAAAAAACTGTCAACTGTTAACTGTTTGCTAGTGAAATGCTCAGTTTTTCCACTTAGACTTACTTTACGTCCTGTAAATAGCGAATGCGCTCTTGGCGCGACGCAGCTGGCTCTTAAAGGGAATGGGAGATGAGACTCTTAATTGGTTTATTCTCAAAACACACTTATAACTCATTAAGAAAATAAACTCAACACTTTTAGACTATGCGCCACGGCGCAAAGCCGATTTTCCCATCCGTAAATTAGCAAAAATGCGTTCTGACACGCCCTGAAAGCGTTTGCGCCCTGCGTTTTGCGCTCTGCGCATGGACCGTCAAAATAGAGCCCTCTTTGTTTATTGTAAAATATAGATATAGAGTGTCTAAGTAGTTTGAGATTGCAGGGAAC